GAGCATGACAAGGAGTCGTCTCTTTGCAGGCATCCTCATATCTTTCACCATCCTTTGTGTGATTGGAATAAGTTCGCTGCTTATATTACGATACACCCATCTTAAAAAGTTGGATGGCGGTTTCTCAATTACTAGTAAATTCAAAAAGGTATTTTGTCTTATTGCTTGTTAAGTGACGGTATAATGTGGGTGATTGTTTGCTTTTATTACTAGTATTATTTTTACTGTAATATATTCATCCTGTAATTGACATTTAGATTGCTGGATGAGATGACATTTTTTAAAAAAGATGAAATAAAATAAATAATTCTCAAAGTAAAATGTGTATTATTCATTCTTTCCTATCACATAGAAAAATAATGATGATGGAGGCATTGTGTATTTCTCTGATAGAAGGGATCCTGCAGATAATGCTTTTGTTAACCCATCTTTCTCTGAAGTTGGTGAGGATTCTGTGAAAATTGACAAGGTAAAGTTTCATTACTTTTGTGGTAACCAGTATTATATATTTTCTTATTTAAATTTGATAGTGCCCCTAGCAAAACATACACTGGTGCACAAGCTGCATGTTTGCATGCTTGTCATGGGAGATCTTTACTGTACACAGATAATTATATAATTATGACACATGGGTGCAGTTGCTGCAAGTAAGAGGTCATGGTTCAAATCAGTTATTGTCATTTTCTCTCTCCATATGCAAGAGTACACCTAATAGTTGTTAAAACTGTTATTGTTTGGATTATGAAGACAACTGTAATAATGATTGTAATTGTAGAAGCAGTTTGGCGCAGCAGGAATAGCTTTATTTGCCAACTTCGAAATTAGAGTTTCAATCTTTTTCTGTGCATTTTGCTTGTATTTTTGTTGTTTCTCTCCACCCTGGAGTATAAGTGAGTACATGATAGGTTTGCCTGTTCCTTTGCTGATTACAGTGATTTGTAGTGAAAGGCACTAAATAAACAAACATAAAAATAATGATCATTGTTATTAACCCCATGTAAAATAGAAATTTAAATATTGCAGGTTGAAAGTTGATATTACAATTTATTATTATTATTTTGAAAATTAAATCAGACATTAGGCACAGTGTCAGATGCATAGAAAAGTAAGTACTGTTGGTTTATAGTATTATCTAATTGTTGGGTTAATGTCATTTGGTGGGATATTCTTCTGTTGTTTCAATTGGTTGAAGTGTCTAACAGTCTGGTGTCTAATACTGTAACTGTTATGTGGTAAATTGTCATGTGTTTAGAAACTGTTTGCATTGCAAGTTAGAGATACAGCTTCTTTAACAATTGGAAGTTATTGTAAGTCAAAGGTGGATTATGAAGCTTGTAAATTAGTAATAATTATCACACTATATTATTATCATTTTTTGTTACTTTCATATTTGTTTGTTTATGGATACTGGTATTTTGCATGCTTTTTAAAGATACACTGTCTACCATACACAAAATAATAAACCTCAAAAATAAATAAATTTTAAATAGCTCAAAAGGATCTAATAACTTAAACAAGAAAGAAAGAAATCTATAAAAAAATGTTTTTGCTGATATATAAACATTTTACTAAAAAAAATCTTTAAATTGACTATTTTGAGCCAATTTAAATGTCTATGCAAAAGCATACAGCAAAGATATTGTTAACAGTCAGTTCATTTTGTGGGAAAAGTTTTTCTCCTTTAAATTTTTAATTGTAAGATAATAATCTACTTAATAAACAAATTAAGCATTCAAATATGGAACTGAATTTATTTTAGCTCATAACAGACAATGCATTTTTAATTGTTAAAGATATTTCACTGGTTTTCAAGTGGTTATTGTTTTCATCAGCTGTCATGTTGCTCACTTAAATAAATTTTAAATAGCTCAAAAGATCTAATAACTTAAACAAGAAAGAAAGAAATGTAAAAAAAATGTTTTTGCTGATATAGAAACATTTTACTAAAAAAATCTTTAAATTGACTATTTTGAGCCAATTTAAAGGTCTATGCAAAAGCATACAACAAAGATATTGTTAACAGTCTGTTAATTTTGTGGGAAAAGTTTTTCTCCTTTAAATTTTTAATTGTAAGATAATAATCTACTTTATAAACAAATTAAGAATTCAAATATGAAACTGAATTTGTTTTAGCTCATAACAGACAATGCATTTTTAATTGTTAAAGATATTTCACTGGTTTTCAAGTGGTTATTGTTTTCATCAGCTGTCACGCTGCTCACTTAACATAGAATTTTAAGATAAAGCCGATCAAGCAACAGGTGTGCTAGCAACTGTCTCAAGATGTAGTCTATTGTGAAGGTGATGAACCAATAGGGAGCTTTTGATAGAGAATGTAGAGCAGGAACATAAAACAGATTCACTCATCCACGACTGTCATTGCATGCATTCTACATTCTACTTTTAAATTAATTTCAATCTTTCCAGCGTGTGCGTTAAAATGCGCCGAACGCAATGCATTAATATGATCTCTCATACGGTTAAATGAGGGCAATATAGTGGTGAATATCAACTTTAAAATTAGATGGATGATTATATTATTTTCTGTTGGTTCATTTCAGGATCTCATTCATAGAAAACCAACACAGCCTCTGATTTGTGATATATGATACAAAGCAAAATTGAGATATCCCTCATACCTGTATGGTAATTACTCTACAGTACAACAATAATCAAGCTTAAGATACAAAGCAAAATTGAGATATCCCTCATACCTGTATGACATTACACTACAGCACAACAATAATCCTAACCAACACAACCTTTGATTTGTGTGATAAGGTTAAGATACAAAGCAAAATTAAGATATCCCTCATACCTGTATGTCATTACACTACAGCACAACACAATAATCAAGCTTCAGATACAAAGCAAAATTGAGATATCCCTCATACCTGTATGTTATTCTCTACAGCAAGGCAACAATTGATAATTAAATGTTTGGCTTTAGACATATATTACTGCCAGGATCCTTCATATTTGACGTAAAAATAAAAAATGCAAATGTAATATAGAAATACCCATGCATTTATTATTCCACAGAAAACATGTTGAGCTTAATTTGTAATTCTTTAATTTAATGGTTTTGATGCAATAAATTCATTCAATTATTTAACAATAATAAGTATAATTATAATAATTACTGTAGCAATCATTTATAATTATATAATAATTATAAAAATAACAAATGATTGCTATGGTAGTTATTTATAATTCTGTAGTTTTCTCTTGTTTTTGATCTAAACAATTTTATTTTCATGTAACATAATTCGTAATTCAGCTTTTTTAGCTGCCATGTTTTATGCTTTTTGTAAATTTTGAATTTTGAATAAAATACCATTATATTTAGATATAAATTGGTTCGGAAATAAACCATTACCCATGAATATTAATATTCTAGGAAATAAAATTGAATCTAATCCTGCTCTTTTACTATTGCATGTTGCATTCAATTAACAAGGATATTTTAAAACACTTTCTTCTTTGCAGGATCCTTGACGTTGATTTGTGCTGGGACTACCTGAACAACATCAGTGCTACCACCATCGGTCCAACTTCCTTCTTCGCAAAACGCTTACTGCTCATATAATTTTTATTTTTATGGCGCTCACACCAATTTCAATTAAACTTAAATTAAGAGAATACAGAAAAGACACTAGAGGATACAAAATATGAGTTACTTGAAAATATTATTACAGTATTTAACTAAATCCATAAATTATATTTATTTATAACTATTACCAGAACACACATTTCATATAACAGGATGACTAACTTAAATAAGGTCATACTTTTTTATTTCTTTTTTTGCGAACTTATTTTTTTAAAGATCGTCAGAGGCGGGCGGAAAAGAAAAATTAAAAATAAAATTGTGTTTTCTTGTTTTGCAAATATTTTTGCCAAAAAAATTCTGACATAGGATTAAATAAAAATAAAATTTTATTGGTGAATGTAAACAGTGTAGTAGTGGGATGGTTAAATGCTTTAAATTCATATAAATACGAAGAAATATACATATCTTATTTTTGGAGATTTCAAGGCAGCGGCGGGCGTAATAAAAATAAAGAAAAAATCTTGTTTTTTCTGAAATTTCCAAATGCTAATAAAATTTTATTTTTTTCGAAATTATCAATATTGGAGTACGGCGGGTTAGCGGCGAAACAATATTAAAAAGTCTCGCCTAAGGATCATTACCCCTTCCAAAGGAAATACAATTTTATTGCATTTTCATCTTTTTAGTTTGTAATTTGTTATTTTAACAATGACTTTGTTATCAATGATTATGTA